GCGGCCCCGCCCGGTGGATACACTGCGCCTCCGCCTGGAAGATGGTCTCGTCAGGCTGGTTGGCGTGCTGCATGGCAATGGCGTGCGGGAACTCGGTCAGCATCCGCTGCTGGAACGCCTCCAGCCGCTCGTAGTCGTGCCCTCTGCACACGAACTCCTTGTTCTGCAGGCAGAATAAAGGACGAGCAAAATAAACGAACAGCCCAGCTGGCCCACGTGGCTCAGTGGTTGAGCGTCGACCTATGAACCTGGAGATCACAGTTCGATTCCCCGTCAAGCACATGCACGGGTTGCGGGCTCGATCCCCAGTGTGGGGTGTGCAGGAGGCAGCCGATCAGTGATTCTCTCTCCTCATTGATGTTTCTCTCTCTCCCTCTCCCTTCCTCTCTGAAATCAATAAAAATATATTTTAAAAAACAACTAACAAACAACACAAGAATGGATTCCCAGATATGAGAACAGACAGACAGACAGTTGGGGAGGGGGGAGGGGGCCGCCGAGACTGGGAGCTGGGTGAAAAAGGCGAAATGGCAGCACTGTCTGCAGCGTGGGACCTGGACCCCTGCCAGGCCTGCACTCTCTCTAACGCCAACGCTGAGGGTGGCCCGCTGAAGTGAAGAGTAAGAACCGGTCCCCCAAGGGAAACAACCCTAATGACCAAAGGTGGCTCATCCATCCAGCAAACTTCGAAACTCAGGACGCAGAAACCACAAGATTGGTTGGTATCTTGGGGAAGTATTCAAAACCAGGCATTCTACCTGAGGATGGGGTTTGCAAAGTAAAAAGTGAAAAGAAGTGTGTGTGGGGGGTGTCAACTGGGGAAAAAGAAGACATATGTAAAACTTTAGACAATAAAAATAAATAAATAGGAAATAAAAAATAAATTTAAAAAAATGCGAAAAAGGCCCTAACCGGTTTGGCTCAGTGGATAGAGCGTCGGCCTGGGGACTGAAGGGTCCCAGGTTCGATTCCGGTCAAGGGCATGTACCTTGGTTGCGGGCACATCCCCAGTAGGGGGTGTGCAGGAGGCAGCTGATCAATGTTTCTCACTCATCGATGTTTCTAATTCTCTATTCCTCTCCCTTCCTCTCTGTAAAAAACCAATAAAATATATATTTTTTTAAAAAGTGAAAAGAAGTCTCCTGATGTGCTCACTTGTCTGAAAAGGGAACAGGGCCAGTCACAGCTCAGCTCTGAGGGTCGTGGTATCTACCGGGTGTCCCCACACAAAATGCAGACACACTTTAACAGCTGATAACTCAATTTTAACAATGAAATGTATTTTAATAAACACTGCCTTTATAATTATTCAAAGTGTATATATATTTTGGGGGAACACCCTATATATTAGAAGTATGAAAGCGAACTAAATAGTACACGACTCACTCTTAAGAAAAATGGAAATTTTTTCCCATAAAATCCAACCCTGAAGAACTCTGGTTCCAGGCGCTGCTGGTCCATAATCTTGTCGTACAGAGAAGCCTCCATCATCTGGGGAAGCAAGGAGACATCCGGTCAGTCCTCCCCTCTTCCAGCTCCTCCACCTCACAGCACAGGACATTTCCTCTGCCACAGGAGCACTTTGCTTTCGTTCTCGGGCTGCTCGCTGACCTGCTTAAAGCCTAGGTGTGTTAGGACATGATCTCGCCGGAGAAGATGGTTTCTATGCGCACAGTCCATCGGGGCAATGTTTTCCTCCCAGTGAAGTAAAAATGAGCATGAACCATGAGAAGCAACCTTTCTGGGGAATTCTCGTGCCAGGTGTACTCACCTGGGGGCTTGCTTCTCCTCAAACACGGAACTCAGGACATCTGGGAGGTGCACACTTGCTCAGGTTGGATGGGGATAAACTGACCAACCAAAGCAGAGGAGGCGTGGCTCAGTGGTTGAGTGTCAACCCTTGAACCAGGAGGTCGTGGTTCGATTCCCAGTCAGGTGTTTTCTCGTTAGGAGAATTATCCATGACCCGTGGACATGAAACACCACGCGGCCAACGGCCAACTCCTGCCGGCTGAAGGACCTCTTGGTGTGTGTGGCGGGGGGGGGGGGGGGGAGTAGGGGTTTGACATGAGCTGTTAAAGGTTAACAACACCATCGCTTCAACTGCTGCCTCGAAATTAAAAGGCAACATCATCCCCTCTTTTTTTAAATGTAGAAGCTGAGGATCCCATTTTAGAGACCAGAGGAACTTAAGGACGCGGAGGGCCCGGGGCGGAGGGGGAGGTGCCTGGCTGAGTCGGAGGGAAGGGAGAGTAAAACCTTTGTGAACACAGAGAACACCAAACTCCTAGAGTTCTTGGGTGGACCCTGGTTTAGGTTTAGCAAATACAAACACATCTCTGAAGCTAAGGAGAGGTAACAACGATAGACTTTAGCCCCAGAATATTTAAAAAATGGGTCAGTTAGCCATTCCTACTATTTTGCTTCGTGGACTATGGGACTAAGGAGGATATATCGCTACAGAGACTTGTGTCCACGTGGGAAGCCCTTCCCAGTTGGGGTTTCCTCAGTGAAGTATTAATCCCGGCTCAGACTGTGTGTTCGGATTGGGGGTTAGCCTAGATCAGCGGTTTTCCACCCAAGTGCCGCAAGAACTGTGAACCCCGCAACACCTGCCTCGGTAGTCAGGGCCACTGACCTCTTTCCCTCTGACTGTCCAATGCGAAAATGACAACAGTCAACACAACAACAGCCATCTGGTGTGAATGAATCAAAATCACACTGTTATTTTTGGTCAGATCGGCAAAAAATATACTTTCTGTTGTGGGCCTCGTCCAGGGCTCACTGTTGTGTCCTCCTCAAAGCACCACAGAGCAATGAGCGGTTTCTCTGCACGAGAGCTGGGCAGCCGAGGAAAGCCTGTCCTCAGTCCTCCCCGGAGGCATGTCGAGGGGCCAGACACAACGTCAGACGGGGAAGCTCACAGCAGAGGGCGCCACGCGGCCCGCGCCCTGCCTTACCCGCATTTTGCTCAGGTTCCGGTAGTCATAGTAGCTCTCGTACTGCTCTGCGATCTTCCGGCACAGGACGATGCCGTTCTCCCAGCACTGCGGGCCAACGGGCACAGTTAGTGATCGCCCACACTTGCTTACTTCCACCCCGAGGTCGGCGGGGACCGCCTTCCATCACCGAGCCTCACTTCATCCCTATGACCTGCCATTAACAGGATCACTGGAGCTTTAAGCACGGAGACAGCATGTAATTAACATGTAAATTATTAAAAGTCCTGCCTGACCCTAACTGGTCTGGCTCAGTGGATAGAGTGTCGGCCTGTGGACTGAAGGGTCCCAGGTTCGATTCCGGTCAAGGGCATGTACCTTGGTTGCAGGCACATCCCCAGTAGGGAGTGTGCAGGAGGCAGCTGATCGATGTTTCTAACTATCCCTTCCTCTCTGTGAAAAATCAATAAAATATATTTTTTTTTTAAAAAAAGAAAAGAAATAGAGAGAGCAAATGAGGGAGAAGGAGAAGAAGGTGACAGTTATAGGGAAAAAAGAAGTTAGCTGGTTTAGAACAAATGCATGTTCAAATTTTTAAAGATATCTCAGGGCTTCCTGGATTCCTTGCATTATTTCCTCACTACTAATGATGATTCTCTCTCATCACTGATGTTTCTCTCTCTCTCTCTCCCTCTCCCTTCCTCTCTGAAATCAATAAAAAGGTATTTTGTTAAAAAGTCTTTCCTGCTGTTAGGAGGATCACTGGGGCTTTAAGCATGGAGACAGCATGTAACTAACGTGTCCGTTATTAAAAGTCTTTAGGAAGCATGAAATGGCAATGCACCCCCACCGGAGGAGGTGGCAACCATGAGCCGAATGAAGGGACCGAGGCACCAGCGCAGTCGCCCAGGGCCACTCACCTTGCCCCTGTCGAAGTTCTGGATGATGGCCAGGTGCAGGTGCTCCTTGCGCTGCCACTCGGTCTGCGCCGGGTAGCTCAGGAACTCGCGCAGCGGCCGGTCCGACCACTCTAGCAGCTCATCGTACAGCAGGAGGGTGTAGGCGGCCTCTGCAAGGCAGCGGGGAGCAAAGTCCAGATGGGCCCTGCAGCCGCCCCTCAAGGGGGGCCAGTTCGTGACAAAGAGGGGACAACACTACTTTCTGAATTTCATGATATTCCAGAAAAGTGCCCAGAATGTATGAATATATACAATGGCAGGTTAGTGAATGCTGACTTTCTCGAAGATGGAATCATCAGAGATTTGCATGTAATTGTTTGGTTCCCTGTATTCATTCATTCATTCATTCATTCATTCACAGAACCCTACAGAGAAGTTCTCCATCCATTTCACTTTCTCCAGGAACTCACAGAAACGAAGACAGAAGGGAGACGGGTAAAATGTTATAGGGGAAATAGAAAAGAAACAAAAAAAAATGTTATAGGGAAAAGGACTCATTTCTTATGACTTTGGGGAAAATAAAAACTACAAACAAATTAAAGAGTTCTTCCATCTCCAAAATATACCCAGCTAGATTTGGACTTTGTTTAGAGAACCAGAATAGACCTGCTATATATCTGCAGGAACTGTCCTCCGTTGCTTCTCTTGCTTCTTTTTTTATGGACTTTAAGTACAACAAGCCTACAAGGTTTTTTTCCCACAGATATAGAAACTAGGTTGAGCATTTCTCTCAAAATCTGGCTACCAGCTACTTAAAAATGACCATTTAAACTCTCAGGCAACATGATCAGCTAAGAAACCAAAATTCTCAGCATGTCTGTGGGGCCATCATTGTATGTAGATGGAATACATATGACAGCTACCACATAAAGTGGGGAAGACAAAGGGACCTCTACGGCTGTAAACTTTCCACATTTAACTTTAGGTGATGAAATACTAACTGAGTAGACTGAAAAGTTAGGGATACATTTTGTAACACCCAAAACAACCTCGAAAAAAAGATGCTAAGAAATATAGTTAAAAAGCCAGCATACAAATTAAAATGAAATACCAAAAATACATAAATAAATCCAATCTATACTAATAAAGGGTAATATGCTAATTAGGGTGGATGTCTTCCGGACGTCCATCGGGACAAAACCACAGTGGCTGCGAGGCCTGGGGCTCAGGCAGCCATGGACTCATGGCAGCCATGGGCTCAGGCAGCCGTGGACTCATGACAGCTGTGGGTTCAGGCAGCCATGGACTCATGACAGCCGTGGGCTCAGGCAGCCGTGAGCCACTGTGGCTGCAAGACCCTGGGCTCAGGCCTCACAGCTGCTGCGGCCAGCAGTGGCAGCAGCAGCAGGGTGATGGGGGCGGCGCCTTCCCCTGATCAGCCTGGTCGCCTCCCGCAGAGGGAGGCCAGACTGCGGCTTAGGCTGGGGGCCAAGGCACAGGTAGTTAGGGGTGATCAGGCCAGCAGGGGAGCAAGTTAGGGGCGAACAGGCCAGCAGGGGAGCAAGGTAGGGGCAATCAGACTGGCAGGCAGAGGGGTTAGGGGCAATCAGGCAGGCAGGCAGGTGAGTGGTTAGGAGCCAGCAGTCCCAGATTGCGAGATGGAGATCGGGCCTAAACCGGTAGTCGGACATCCCCTGAGGGGTCCCAGATTTGAGAGGGTGCAGGCTGGGCTGAGGCCCCCCGCCCATGCACAAATTTTGTGCACTGGGCCTCTAGTTTAAAATAAATTTCCATTATTAAAAAATAGGTGGTTCTTTATCTGATATGGAGGCTGGGACACAGAGAACAAAAGACAATCAATTACATAAGAAATAAATTTCAATTTTAAAGCAGAAATGCTTGAGCCCTAATTCCAAAAAGGAGAGGACTTACAGTGTCTCACATACCAGGGTCCACCCTCCCCGGCCGGAGCCCAAGACAGAATTACCTGTGAAGTTCTGTGCCTTGAGGTGCAGGTCGTAGAGTTTGTGGATGTAGCGGATGTACATCTCTTCCTTGTTCAGTTCCGTCTTATAAAAGTTCTGGGGGAAAAAAAGTACAAGCGTAGAGAGTTGCTCAACAGTTAGGCCGGCAAATATCTGCCTTTTACTCTGCTGAGGTGTCATGAAATTGAACCAAAAGAATGGATTGTTCGTATAAATGCCTTTAACAATGTGTAGTACGGAGGCCCAGGGGCATGTTGTTATTCAACACCGGCTGTGCTCAACAGGACCTAGCGACTGGATGCGCTGGAAATGTCTGCGGTGTTATCACCACTGATGAACATAGCCTTAGTGACTATCATTTTTTTGTTAGTTTTGCTGCCAATGGACAGTCAGCCTATTCAACTAAAATCGTGAAATATGTAACAGACTAACCTGTTTATTAAAGTTAATTAGTGATATCCAAAGGCGTTTCAAGTTTCAAACACATGTTTACTCGAAGGAAAAATAAGACACATCGGTAAGGCTGAGTCAAAACAACGCAAATGCAATTTTTCCTTCCGAAGATCATGTGAAGGTGGGAAAGAAAGGCTCTTTGTTGTTGGGGTGTTATGAGAGCTCCTTTGTGCTGGAGTTTAAATGTTTCCAGTTGATGTACAAAACATAAATGGATTGATAACAAGGTATTTTGTTTCAAATTATTATGGAGACAAGCTTATTGAAAATATTCATATAAAAAGTAGCTTGATCTTCCTAAATTTCCCTAACACATTTTAATGTTATCAGAGACTCAACTTGAAGGTAACCTGGGCCCATGCTCTTGGCATTTAAAGGTACATCACCATCCTGGCTGGTTATATCAGTGGTTAGAGTACCAGCCCTTGGACTGAAGGCTCACGGATTTGATTCCAGTTAAGGGCATGTATCTCGGTTACAGGCTCCATCCCCGGCCCTGGTCAGGGCGCATGCAGGAGGCAACCAATCGATGTCTCTCTCTCTCATTGATGTTTCTGTCTCTCTACCCTCCTTTCCACTGTCTCTAAAAATCAGTGGGAAAAAATATCCTCCTGTGAGGATTAACCAAAAATAAATAAATAAATAAATAGATAGATAGATAAATAAATAAATAAATGCAGGTACATTATCCGCATCCACCTCTAGTCCTTCACAACGTGAGCAAGGGCCCTTCCTCCCTGAAGGTGGTACATAGAGCACATGAAGTCCGATTCCAGCAGAAGCGTGGCACGGTGAGACTCAGATGCGCTCTTTCCAAAGAGCCCTTGGAGGTGACATCCTGGCTAGAGCACTGGGACGCCTATCATTGTGGGCCCTGGTTTCGGATGATGCTACTTGGGATGAGGAATAAGGAAAATGTGTGGCGATGGGAACACATCTGATGACTTGAAGAAGTGACAGGTTTTTCCACGGGGGACAGGCCACGGATTTTCCACGTTTTTGGAGCTGATTCGTTAGAGAGGGCTTTGGTAACGGGCTGAACTAGCTAATGTGGCTCGTAATACTGAACTTGAGCTTGAAGCCTGAGGACCATCTGCCCATGCCCTTCCTGAATACCACCACCCAGGAGTCCATTCTTCACTATGAGGGCTCTCCTATCCTTGAGACATGGACATGTAATTGAATAACATTTTTTCCAATTTGTATCATTATCCTCTCCCTGTTCTTCTCCTGTAGATCTTGGCATTCTTTTTTTTAAGAAATATATTTTTATGATTTTAGAGAGGAAGGGAGAGGGAGATAGAAACATCAATGATGAGAGAGGATCACTGATCGGCTCCCTCCTGCACGTCCCACACTGGGGATCGAGTCCACAACCCAAGCACAGGGAATCGAACTGTGACCTCCTGGTTCATAGGTTGACACTCAACCACTGAGCTACGCTGGTCGGGCAATCTTGGCATTCTTTAAACAACCAAGTAAATAACGCCATTCACAGCTCCCATTATAACTCAAATCATTTCAATTAGCAAGCAGTGTTGTAGCATCAACACACATCTAACATCCCACAGCAGATTTTTACGTTACTAAAGGATGATTTGCTCTAATAGCTATCTGGTAAGAAGCGGCTTTCTTTGAGAACAAAAATAAGACTCACTCTGGAAATGAATAGTTCTTTAAAAAAACAGAATGATCTCTCCCATCAGCAGAGGAGAATATGCACATATGTCTGGGGAAACGGGTGACACCGAGAACAAAACAATAATTACATTTCCCAGCATGAGTCATGACAAGGATTATGCACTTGTACGGCGAACACTCCAGTTAACGCTGGCAGCGTGAAGGAAGCCAGAGCTCTCCTGAGACAGTCTGGAGCTGATCTTCCCCGAGGGGAAGAACATCTCTGAGAGGGAGTGAGCGGATGAACAGAACCATTTGCCGCTACAAAAACATCAAGAAGGTTCCAGATGGAGTATGAGCTAGAACGATTCACTTCCACGTCATAGGTTTTGCTCCTTTAATAAGAAGTATTCTTGCCCGGCCCATGTGGCTCAGTGGTTGAGCATCAATCTATGGACCAGGAGATCATGGTGCAATTCTGGGTCAGGGCACATGCCCAGGATGTGGGCTCGATCCCCAGTAGGGGGCGTGCAGGAGGCAGCCAGTCAATGATCCTCCTCATCATTGATGTTTCTATTTCTCCCTCTCCCATCCGATCGAAAATCAATAAATATATATTTAAAAACAAAACTGAACTCAATACAACAAGACCGGAGCCAATGAACAGACAAGACAGAATCAGAGGGGGCAGAACATGCCTCCCAGGCAGAGGCCTATGCAGAGCAGCAAACTCGAGAGAGAGACAGAGTAGGAATACGTGCTCAGAACAGATGGTGTGGTTGCATTTATTTCTTTTTTTTTAAATATATTTTTTATTGATTTCAGAGAGGAAGGGAGAGGGAGAGATAGAAACATCAATGATGAGAGAGAATCATTGATTGGCTGCCTCCTGAATGCACCACACTGGGGACTGAGCTGCAATCTGGCATGTACCCGGACTGGGAATCAAACCATGACCTCCTGGTTCACAGGTTTATGCTCAAGCACTGAGCCACACTGGTCAGGCTCATTTTTCTTTAAAATAAGACAAAGAAGCCAAGACACTCACCAATTTAGAAATGGAAACAGTCGCATGGTCCCCTATTTCAAATTTGATTAAGGGGAATGATCAAAAGCATGAATTTACCCTTTTTGATCACTGAACAATGCATGTCTACGTGAACAATCATTTTTTTGCCCTGTGGTGAGAATATCACTCAATTTAATTGTTACTTACGAGACAGTTTAATATAAATGTGGTTTTCCCAGGGCAGTTCCAGTTTTGCCTGTTATCCTTACATGATATTTACTTTTACTCTCAAAAATATCCTGTTGGGCCTGGCCAGTGTGGCTCAGTGGTTGAGCGTTGACCCATGAACCAGGAGGTCACAGTTTGATTCCCGGTCAGGACACATGACCGAGTTGGGGGGCTCGATCCCCAGAAGGGGGTGTGCAGGAGGCATCCAATTAGTGATTCTCATCATTGATGTTTCTCCCTCTCTCTCTCCCCCTCTCCCTTCCTCTCTGAAATCAATTTTTTTTTTAAATGTCCTGTTGGGAGAGTAAGCTATATGATCACCCTACTTATAACCCAAGCCTTAACCATGGTGGCATCATACATTTAATTTGCAAAGAAGCTAGAAAGTGAAAACTGGCTTAATAGAAAAGAGCCATTTGGTCGCAAAAGAAGAGATCACTAATATTTATTACGATGGAAAGAAACTGTCTAAACAGAAGTACAAAGTCCTAGGGGACGCTGCTTGTTTCTAGAGAGTGACAAAGGATGACAGAGCCTGTTGAGACACAGGGGACAGATGGCTCCCACTGGGATCTCCAGGCTCTGCCTCCAGGCCCCGGGGCCACCGTGGTGTGTCTGCAAGGCTGGAGCAGGTAATTTCCTGGGATTTAATTCAACCTGAAGCTCGACAGACCTTTTTTATTTTATTTTTTAAATATATTTTTTATTGATTTCAGAGAGAGAGGGAGGGAGGGAGGGAGAGAGAGAGAGGGAGAGAGAGAGAGAGAAAGAAACATCAATGATGAGAGAGAATCATAGATCGGCTGCCACCTGCACGCCCCACACTGGAGATGGAGCCCCCAGCCCGGGCCTGTGCCCTGACCGGGAATCGAACTGTGACCACCTGGTTCATAGGTCAATGCTCAACCACTGAGCCACACTGGTGGGACTCGCTAGGCCTCCTTTAGATACACTTCTAAACTCTTCTAAGAAATATCGGATAAAAAAAACACTGTGGATCGAAACCAAACAAAACATAGTATTTCTGTAAAACAACACACGTTAGGCTCTGAGAAGGAAAGGGAGTGGGTGGGTCACTAACCAGAAGGCTCACTGTGCAGCCGATCTTCTTGCCATCCACCTCGCCCACCTTCATGCAGTCCCTGAAAACAGAGAACAACAGTCAGAACCCAGAGCGTCCTTCCCCGATGCACACACACTGATCTTTCAGGGAAGTAAGAGGCAGAAGGCTCAGGGACTGCAGCACCTGCCCCCAGGCAACTGCCCCAGGCTGCAGGATCTCAGGTGAGGGGTGACATACTCCTGAGCCTCCAGTGGGCAGCCCTCCCTCTCAGTGGGCGGGGCCTCGGGGGCGGGGCGAAGGTGTGGTATACGCCTCTAATGTGGGTGGAAAGGGGCGGGTGAGCCTGGCCATCAACAATAAGAATGAAGGTTCATTCTTGAAATAAAACAAAAACACCATGCATTCAAGTGGAGCAAACTGCTTGACCAGTTTAGATCATTTAAAAATTAAAAATAAAACGCTGTCTATGGAAGCAGCATGGTTGTCTAATTCTCCAACACTCCATCTTCACCCCGAAATGGATGGATCTGCTTACTGACTCTAATGGGCGAGTCCAGATAAAAACGAACAAAACCAAAACCCCTTTACTAACGGGCTCTGAGAACCCTCTCCATCCACTGAGACTTGGAAAGAACTGCCAACCAAAACAAAACAGAAAGAAAGAGGAGCGACACAGAAACGTCCTGAGCCAGCAGTGCACAGCCGTCATCTCAGGCCTCAGGTTCACGGCCATGGATCAGATCTCCGGTGGGGGGGGGGGAGCTCAGGTGTGTGAGGACTGTCCTCGACTCTGAGTCCCTAACCAGGGCGCAGCACACCTGGGAAATGGCACCCAACTCACCTGTAATCCAACAACCTCTCCATCAGACGAGTCACCGTGGCGATCAAGGAGACCCCACTCTCCCTCCATGTTTCCCGCTCGATTTTCTTCAGCAGACTGGAAAAGAGAGGACCCCGGGCATTTTCAACATTTATTTTTATCGGTCACCATGACGACCATTTTACTTTCATCAGCACCTTAAATGCCTTAGCAACCACAGCAACATCTTACAAGGAGCACAATTTGCAAACAATGTCTTACCTAGGATAGGGACCAAAGAGTGGAATTCTAATCCCGGAAGCATTGACAAAGCAAATGGATGTTTAGATTCTCCGAGTCATGAAATACGAACCCATGCACAGCATCAATTTCACACAGGCAAGCCCCGAGCAGCTCACACACGCTTTCTCCCAGCTTCTCCCTCCCGGGAGCAGGCTCGCACCTCCCCACAGCCCAGGACAGTGTGGCCAGCGGAGACAGCACACCTGTGAGTGCACTGTCAGGTCAGCCCTTGCTGTATTCCCGGGAAACCAGCTCCCTACCTCTCCGTGGAGCGCATCCTCATCCGAGCAGTTCTACCGCAGTGCAATGCCCCAGGAAAACCCTTGCACAGACGGAGTGACGTGTGGCGTTTTTTTCCTTTCACTTAGCATTTGCCCACTCAATACATATTGTACTGTCTGGTGCATGCAGGCAACAGCTTCATACATTGCGTCATTAATCACAGGGGACTTTCTATGGAGTGGTTACAGTGGGCAGGTGACAGGTACCAGACCACTGCCTCCTGCCTTCTCCCCTAACCTCAAGCACCTTGGGGCAGAGGCGCTATCTAAACACAACATAATAAGTCACAGCAATGAGCACCTATTTTACTCATTCCCGCGTCTCCTAGGGCAGCGGTTCTCAACCTGTGGGTCGCGACCCCTTTGGCGGTTGAACGACCCTTTCACAGGAGTCGCCTAAGACCATCCTGCATATCAGATATTTACATTACGATTCATAACAGTAGCAACATGACAGTTATGAAGTAGCAACGAAAATAATTTTATGGTTGGGTCACAACATGAGGAACTGTATTTAAAGGGCCAGAAGGTTGAGAACCACTGTCCTAGGGTGAAGCAGACACTGGCAGAGCCTGTAGGACTGAATCTGTCCCCGTGGTAAAAGGTGGACCTTGAGCAGGACCTGTGAAGACGCCTCCCTGCCCCTCTGGATGGAATAATCATCATTTCTGTCTAAAATCCTATGTCTCATCCTGGTTTCAGAAATAACCTAGAAAACACTTCTTACAAGTACCACCTAAGCCTGCTGTCTATTGTGCTTAGTGGAAAAAGAAGCAGGAAAGAAAAAAGCTATTTTGAGGGGGGCTGGGGCTATAGTCTCTCCCTTCTCCCCACTTCCAGCTATTGCCTCCCAGGGCCCAGCCTCTGTCTTGTCTCTGCATCTGTTGCCTACACCTTCCTGATCATTTTGGTTTTCAGGTTTATTCTGAGCTGTTTCCTAGATTGTGATTGGGGGGGGGGGGGGGGAGCATATGAAAGGACGGACTCGCCCTGACTGATCCCTCAGTTTCACTAAAATGTGTTTTCTTTACCGAGCCGGCATGGCTCAGTGGTTGAGTGTCAACCTATGAACCAGGAGGTCACAGTTCGATTCCCGGTCAGGGAACATACCCAGGTTGCGGGCTTGATCCCCAGTGTGGGGTATAGGAGGCGACCAATCAATGATTCTCTCCCATCTATCTTTCTCTCCCTCTCCCTTCCTCTCTGAAATCAATAAAAACCTTTTTTTTAAAAAAGTGTTTTCTTTTAAAAACAAAAACAACCCCTGAATAGCACTATTTCAGGCTCCAATGCCAAAGTGGAAGTGAGCCGAGTGCTGACATGGGCACTGCCTGCCCACGCCCTGCGGGTGCGGCAGCAGCCTTCCCGGTGCCAGCCCACACCTCACAGACTCCAGGGGCCGGGAGACAAAGGGCTCAGGTAAGCGAGCTAAAAATACAGGAGATTTCTTTCCCTTTGCACAGCCTCCCGGAGCAGTAAGACATCGGAGCTACACGCCCTCCTGCGAGAAGAGGCAGAGCTCTGCAGAGCACGCCTCCTCGAAGAGCCCAGCACCCAAAGGCGGGGGCTGAGACCAGAACCCAACTTATGGCCTTTGGCAGCCAGGCTGGTTCTTGGTGTCCAAGTTCCCCCTGCGATTTTACCTGACAGGAGACTCAGGGGAAGAGGAGGCAATTTAAAAAAAAAAAATTTCTATTGATTTCAGAGAGGAAGGGAGAGAGGGGGAGGTCTATGCTCAACCACTGAGCCACGCAGCTGGGCAAGAGGAGCCATCTCACCTGGTCCACAGTCATGCCCGTGCACCGTGCTGAGGACACAGAGACTCGTCTAAGGACAGCACAGGTGACGTCTTATTGCCAACAGACAAGCAATGAGACTCCACAGCGCGGGACTGCAGAATCCCACGACCCTGCGGGAGGGCTCCGTGCTCAGCGGCTTGGACCCATGAAGGAACGTTGGGGGAGGCCCTGGCCCTCCATCGCCCGCTCTGTCGGAACAGGACTGTGCTGAGGCCATTGCTCGTACCTTAAACACCTGTGCCTGCGCCTGCTCTTCATCCGCAGAAAAGGGTCACACACCTGAAGTGTAAGAGCTAATCCTGTCTGCAAACTACAACTTGGTGTGTGAGCACCAATAAAGGTCTCTGCCTGCATTACCCGGAGCAGCGTACGATAAAGCAGCGACTGCGGGAAAAGCTGAGATGGGAGTTACACCTTCTGGAAAGCTCCCCGAGGACCCCCAAGGCTGGGAGCACCCTGTGTGTTCCCACAGCACACCCACCGCCTCCCAGCCCCAGGCGAGTCCTGGCCCAGGAGGTGCTCAATCAGGCGCCATGACGCCTCAGGGCAGCCAGGGGGCCTCGCGTGGTTCTGATGCCCTGTTCTGATCCATCCCCTGGCGTCTGTGACCTGCAATGTCAGCATCTTTAAGAGTAATAAATCCTGACTGTTATTTCAGGGAGGTGCAGTCTGGGTAAATAAAGATGCTGCTGGGATTAGAGGAAGATGACGGGTTCCTGGGAAGGTGTCATACGAACGGAAAGTCTCGTTTTAACGCCACTTTAGCAAGTGCTGCCTTTTCAGAAGGCAGTGACCTGCCTTCAGTTTCTTAACTTTTTAAAAAATATATTTTTATTGATTTGGGAGGGAGGGAGGGAGGGAGGGGGAGAGAGAGAAACATCAACTAATTGGCTGCCTCCTGCCCCCTACCAGGGATCAAGCCTGCAACCCTGACATGTGCCCTGACCTGGGAATCGAACCCAGTGACCTCCTGGTTCATAGGTCAATGCGCAACCACTGAGCCACGCCTGTCCGGCACTTTCTGAACAAATTTTAAGAAGTTTTAGACATGAATTACAGAGAACAGATGAGATCGTCCCATGACAACGTGTGTTCCTACTTCATAATGTGCGCAGTGACTCACTGTGACTACACTAATTCATTGTGATTTCTATGACCAAAAAGTGCATATTATTGTTACCCAAAATATAATTACCATTTTCACTCTCTCTTCTGAGCCCAGGTAGTAATGATATGTAATTATCACTTCAGAATTTTATTTATTCCCAATATGCTTATCACAAAAGCACAAAAGAAAAATATTTGTGGTAACATTTCCAGTAATGTGTTAAAAGTCAACAAAAGAATAAAAATTTCCATTGAATGGATCAGGAACTTGTAACAGTCCTCATTACCGATGCTTAATATTTTAATTATTGGTTTCATTTCTATGCCAGGGCGTATCTGCTATTTCAAAATCACATTTATATATAAGCAACCCAAAATGCCACTATCAGGCCTTTACTAAAGTCAGGAAGAAGCACCTTAGAGCCAGGTGCATATTTATTACTCGTGCGAATTTCTTATGAAAATTAACCACAAAGCCCAAGGGCCTCATCACACGGAGTGCTTTCTCATTTTAGTGCTTTATTCAAACCAAGGACTCGTCACCGAAGCGAGAGCTGTGCTCAAAAGCAATTTGTGCTGTTGGACGAGGCTTTAATCAGCTCTGCGCTCCACTCCAGCTGTCAGCAGGCCCACACTCGGTGCCCAGGAGTGGAGGCGGGCGTGGGGAGGAATAACTGAAAGTGCCAGTGTAATGACAGCGTCGGAGGGAAATGGTGCTGTTCGGGACCCAGGACAAAGAGCGCACTTTGTCACCGCCACCCCACCCCACCGCCACCACCACCAGGAACCGGCACACCCTTTCTCCACTTGTCCTCTCAACATAATTTTTTTAAAAGCTTGGAGAATGATTCTGAATCAGGCAAGTTGAAATCTATCAGTCACTAATGATAGTTTTCAAACCTCTATATTTTCCTTTCCTTTCTTTCTTTTTTTTTTTTTGTTTTGTTAATCCTCACCCAAGGATATTTTTCCATTGATTTTTAGACAGAGTGGAAGAGAGAGGGAAAGACAGAAACGTCAATGTGAAAGAAACACATTGATTGGTGGCCTCCTGCATGAGCTCTAACCAAGGCCCAGGCTGGGGAGGAACCTGCAACCAAGGTATGTGTCCTTGACCAGAACCAAACCCAGGACGCTTCAGTCTACAGGCCGACGCTCTATCCACTGAACCACACCGGCCAGGGCTCCTCAATACTAGTATGTTCGTATATTGGGGCTCTACATCTGGGAGCAAGACATGAACGACAGAATTTATATCTGGCTCTCAGTATTAAAGCATGATGCTTCCTTTTAGGGGATACCTACACACTCAGGCGTACCCTAGGTTCGAAAAGGACTAAGACCCGTAGAAAGCTGGAGAGAAAACCAGGGTCAGAGTTAAATTCCTGAACACGCTTAGGTGTCCTCTCGGGCCCCTCACGGTGGAGGAGGACCTGGCCAGCCGTTCATCCGGGGACTGTGCTCACGTCTATTGAGGACAACCTCAGAGCCCCTCTATCCTCCATGTGAATCCCCATTGAAAGGACTTGCTTCTGTGACGTTCTGATGGGAAACACTTAGGAAGCAGCTGGCAATGCTGAGGGAGCCCTCAGCACGCAGAAGGGATGGAGCCTGGGAACAGGTGAAGGTGCATATCCCAGCAGCTGAGCAGCAGGGGCTGTGGCTTTGGGGAGCACTGAGCCCCAACAATAATCACACCACTTTGGGGGGCTCCTCCACTCTTAACCCTATTTAAACGCATTACCCTCCAGGCCTGGTTCTCACGTTATTAGACAGGAAAAGAGCGAGATCTGTTGTAGAACACGTGACCTGAGCTAGTTAGAGATTAAAATGAGACGACATGTTCAATCAATGATATAAAACCCATCATCCAGAGTCAGGCCACGACCTGAGTTCCTCCCGCCACACCGGCCCAGCACACCCGTGTGGCCACACTGTCTGCGGCTCTAGGCTGCCTAAGGTGACACGTGATCCCCGGGCAGGACCAGTGGAGACGAACCGTTACTCACATACTGTTGAAGAGCTCCCGGTAGGTTTCGTCCCCTTTGCCTTCTGACATCAGGCTATCCAGTTTGTCGATGAGCTTGGCTTCCACCTGCAACACACCCAACAGTGCTCTCTCTCTGCTCCCCTGGGCAAGGGGCGTTTCTAGGCAAATGGAAACAAAGGTATGTGCCCAAGAGGAAAAGTAATGGTCTGGTCGGATTGTGTGGAAGTGACGAGATCGGTTGGGTTAAGAGGAGACAGAATCCTAAGGGGCTCATTCAGATGGAGCATCGGGACTTACACGCCCCGCGGGGCTGCTCTGGCTGCTGCCAGAACCAAATACTTGCAGCCCAGCTTCAACATTGGAGCCCTTTTCTAGGAGCTATAAGCACTGGCAAGGCTCATTTCTTTTCTCTCTTTTTTTAAAAAAAAATCACTATACATATATAGAAACATTCATTTATATCTTTGTGTTTTCTATCTATTTTCTTTCTCAAAACAGGATGAGGTTGCATGAATCTTTGCTGAAAGTGAGAAGCTGGCCCGTCCACGGACAGATGGCAGATCCTATAGAAATGCTCCAAGTCAGCACTAAGCAGAGAGAGAGAGAGAGAGAGAGAGAGAGAGAGAGAACATATTTCCTGAAAACTGTGGTCCAAACCCTCCTATGCTCCAGCATGGAAACCCTGCAAGGCTGCCACTGGGAAGGCGGACGGTGCCCCCAGCCAGCAGGAGACAGAAGATGAAACAAGCTGGCTGCCGGGGACGGAAACAGCGGGGCTGGAGGATGCTGTCTGCCTGGGTGGCAGGTCTAAGCCCAATGGACCCTCTGAATCACATTGAATCAGGGGATAAAGGCAAAAGGGCCTAAGAGTGGGTCCCCCAACACGATTTTTAAATAGCTTCTCATTCACCTATTCTCTTCCTTGAAAATAAATGCAGATATTGATGCAGGTGAGAGGCCATGCTTTTGGGGACAGGGCGGTTCGACAGAGGCTCTCAGCTTGCTGGTGGAGCTGACGGAGGTTTTTGTCGGGTTTGAGAAAGGCATGAAGTGAGGACAAGTCCTCCCATCGGTGAGTGTATACAGGTGTGGACAGGTGAGTGTGGACAGGTGAGTACAGTGACTTTGTGAACAGGAAGTAGGCCTAGTATCTGCAACTTGAGGGCAGAAGCAGCTGGTTTCTCATGCAATCTGCTTCTGGAATAAGAACCTGCATCTTTGCAAAACGGGACCAGACCTCTGGGAACCTACGTCTCTTCGGAAGAGCCTTTGCAAGAATTTCCACCGCTTTCTACTTTAAAAGAATTCTCGATGCTTTGAGCAAAGAGCAATAACACACACTGTGCATCAGATGCTCAAAGCTAAGCCGTTCCCCAAATACACCATGCAGACCGCTGTGAGCGCAATGGTTTTAAGATTCATTAACCTTCTGATTTGCCCACGCTGTGTCCAACTGAGAGCAAAGAAAGTCCCTGCCCATCCTTAAACACAGACCCGGCAAATCACAGAATTTTTTAGCTGAAAGGGTATGAAATGGGTTTTTCAGGGCTTTCCGGACGCTCAGGGGGTCGTAGGACCAGCAAAGTGTCCGTGGCCACCTGGCTGGGAGGGCGGCCAGGCTGGAATCTGCTCTGCCGATGGCTAATGGGGTGTTCATTTCCCAGCTCCAAGAAGTGAACGGGAGGTCTCCCCCAGGCCGAGGGCCCTGCCTACCTGCTTGAAGTTGCCACTCCGCCTCTGCTCCCAGTCCATCATGTCGTGGAAAATCGGAATCATGACGTTCCGCAGGTCCGGCTGTGGAATCAAGGTCACCTCCAGGAAGGGCCCGATCAGGGCAGGGATGAAATGAAGCTTGTGCTCCCCTAAGGCAATGAAATGTTTGCATCTCAGTATATTTAGAAAATTAATATAGTAATACTTGTTTAAAACTATTAATATAGTAACACTATTAAAACTATTGCAAGCATAGTCATCTCAATGACAACTGTCTCCCCAAGCAAGGAAATATTTCCCTAAGCACATATGTAAACAGTAAGTTTCAATGTGTTGGTATTTCTCCATTGTTATTAAAAACGAGAGAATTCATTTTTTCAGTTAAAAAAAGGCCATAAGGTACAATGAAAAGTTATAGAAGTCCTCAGGAATTGGTGAAACATACTACTCAACACTCACACATTGGAATTTTTATGCTGCCATTAAAAACGAGGTGGAAGGACGACACAGGGAAAGTTATTCCACAGAATTAACGAAAAAAGTAAGGCACGTTACTGTACGGACAGGCACGTCTTTCATTTTAAAAAAACAAACATGTGATAGAAGAGAACACGGTATCCCCAAAGGTTATCCACAGTGTGGAGGCGGGGGGCCACCCCGGAAGACAGCAGCCCTTCCCGTGGCACCTGCGGTCTTCCGTGCTGA